TTTCTGGAAGCTATAAAAAGATTACACAGTCTCAACATTTTATTGTTAGAGAGTAGACTCCCGATTTTACTCTTAGCTCTTGAATTTAGCATACATGAAACATAGGTCCTTTTTTAAATTTAAGAAACAAATGATAATAGCTAAACTTATTGTGATCATTTTGCAATATATATAAATATCAAATCATTGTGCTGTACATTTGAAAGTAATATATCACATGTCAATTATGTCTCAAAAAAAGTAAATAACAGGCAAGTATCTGATAGACTTCGATTCTTCATCTTCTGTATATGTGGGACAAAATTATCTTTCCTACTTAAAGATAAATCTGTTCTTTCTTCTGACCTTGTTGAATTTTCCCTTATCTACCTGGGCCATTGAAACCAGTCAGGCAGTCTTACATCAAGAAACTACATGTTCTTGTTCCATGAAAAATGTTTTTTTAATAAATACCTCTTGTACAAAAAAGGAACAAGTAAAAACACCTGATTTTTAATTTTCATAAAAATAACTTTGTGCCATCATTCACAACCAATAAATCAGGACCACCCAGATAACAAAAGCAGGGGATTAAAAAAGATAATGCCCTGTTAACATAATAGATGAAGATACTAGGTGAGAAGAAACATGCATACAACAACAATTTAAAGATTGTGGTAATCAAAGTCAAGCGATCAATTACTAACAAAGACAGTAACAGAGCTTCTTTTGTCTTTCCGGGTGAATGCACAATTAGCACTTAATACTAAGATTGAGGCATAAACCATAGAAATCCACTGAAAAAGACCATCTGCTTCTATAAATTTTGCTCTTACCCACTTGCCAAAAGAAGAGAACATATTAACAAAATAATGGGCCCTGCACTGTTAATTGCTAGGTTGTTTGCATTTGTGCTGTTGCTATTAGAATTTAATAAGCCATTCCTTCTGCTAAATTAATAAGCAGCCAAGATTATGTAATAACTGCTTTCAGCTGCTAATTCTTTTTCCCATAATTCCTTTCCCTCCCTACCTCCAACCACCGCCCCCCCTTGGTTAGGCACACCAGAGACTGCCAATATGTCATCAGCAAGTCTCCCGTCCTCATTTTCTGAACAACAGACCAACATTAGGAGCATAACCAATGAGTTTAAACTTGGAGGCAGTTATCTGAGCATCCTTGAGGAAATGTTTTGTACTGAAAAAGAGAAAAAAAAGCAGTTTGGATTCAGAGGGCAAGTTTTCATGGAATGGCATCTGTTCAGTGGAGTAAGAGAGAAATGGGTCATTAGCATCTACCTTTGGGGCATGATTAGTCAGGAAACAGAAATTTGGGCAGGAGACCTCAAGACCTACAGAAAGCCAGCACTGTGCTTTGGATGGACCACCTCTTTAATATTCCAGCATGCATTAATCATTCATGTTAGCAGCACATTTCCCAAGCAGCACAATAGTGCTTAAAAGAGGAGTGATCCATTTTTATTTATACATTCATTTTACTTAAAAATGCCCTCCGATCTCTATTATGGACTATCCTAAACACACAAAAGGAACATAATCCCAACACAAGAAACCTTTACTTTGATTCAGTTTAGCTCCGTGAAAAACTTAGCATTTCTTTTTCACTTCGGGCCACGACAAAATTCTGGCGACTGTGTTTGGGAACCTCCGCAGAAAAGGGCATCGCGCAACAAAAGCAATTTTCTCGCTTCCTTTGTAAGAACCTAGGTGACCGATAATGAATAGCATCAGACATGAGAAATCCCTGCCTGTCCAAACAAGGTCACTCAGTCCCTTGGGGCTCCTCTGTCCTCATCTGGAGAGGATGAGTCGGACTAGATGAATCATGCATTCTTTCATTTAAAAAAAAAAAATACGGCCAGACACGATGCTCAGCACTACGGCTCTTACCAAATCTATCATCTTCTAGTCCTTATCAGTCAACTCGCATGTATAAAAATTGTGTTATGGATCAGCCAGTTGAACTAGGCTGGGATGAGAAATGAACAAAACTCAAGATATGCTCAACAACGGCTTCATGAGCCTGTGGGTGAAAGAGGGATTCGTTCTTACAGGGTTTGGGGGGGAGGCTTCGTGGAAGATGTGACATTTGCGAGGAAGGGCATGCCTGGCAGAGCAAGTCATTGCCAAGGCCACAACGGAACCCGGGTGCGTGGCTGGGGGAGGTGGGCATCTGGCGTGCAGGGCAGACACGGGGTGAAAGGTGTCCAGGGGTGCAGCAGTGCGATGGGAAGGAGGGGCCGGATTCCGCTCAGTTTAGAGCCCGGGGGCTGCAAAGGGCCCCTGCCCGCGTGCACGAGCTCCACAAGAGCTGACGTTTTCCACGGAGTTGCAGCCCTCACTCTCCTCCTCCTCATCGCCGGCCGTCACGCCTCCGTCCCACCCCCTGGGGTTAGCGGAGCTCGAACTGGGCCCTTCGCGGTCCAGCTCTTCCGCACCCCACGCGGCGGGGTCGGGGGGGGGGGCAGTGGAACGCCGCGCTCCCACCGCCCAGCAGTCTGGGCTGCCGCCCGCGCCCCCCCCCCCCAGGGAACGCGCCGGAGTGCGCAGGCGCGCGGGTTCCGCGGCGGCCGCTTCCGGGTCACGTGGCCCGGCTTCCGGTCCAGACCACGCCTCTCGGTAGAGGCCTGGCCAATCGGCTTCCTCGCTCCGCGCGGCCCGCCGCGCCGCCTCCGCTGCCGCAGGCTCGTGTCGCGCCGCCGGGAGCGCGCCGCCCAGCCCGCCCTCCGCCCGCCGCAGCGCCGGCTCCTCCCTCGCCCGGCCCCCGGGGCGGGGTCTGCCGGCTCGCCCTCCCCTCGCCGCCGGAGCCTTCCTCCACTGAGCGGGTCCCTCCCCACGAGCACCACGGCTTCTGCTTCGCAGCCCGGCGACCGGGGCTGCTCCTCAGCCGCCGCCGCCGCCGCCGGCCGAGCAGCGCCGCGCCCGCGGCCCGCGGCCGCCGTAAGTCCCGGGGGGACGAGCCGGGGCGCCGGGGACTGGGCGGCGGGCTGGAGGGTGGGCGCGCCCCCAGCCGCCCCGCGCGCGCCCCGCGACCCCACCCCGCGCCCGCCACCGGGACGCGACGCCCCGCAACTCACTTCTCTCCGCGGTCGAGGCCCGGGCTGCGGGGGGCTGGGGGGTCGCAGTCCCGGGCGCTGGCACCTGTGGTCCGGGAAGCCCCTCAAGTTTGGCGGGGCGTTTCGGGGAGGGGCCCGCGGCCGGGGGCGGGGAGGGGGGGCGGCGGCCGGGGACCCCGGGCGCCCCCCGCGCGGCGGCGATGCCATTGTCTGCCCCGCTCCGCCTGTCCCCGCGCCGGGCGCGATCGGGGATGGAGAGCGGCCCCGCGGGAAGCGGCGGAGGCGGCGCCCCGAGGACCGCTGGCCCCGAGCCTGCTCCGCCGCCGGGGCCCGTGCTTTTCCGTGCGGGTCTCGAGGAATCGGGGTGCCCCGCGACTGGCGGCAAAATCAAAGCGTTGTTTTTAGCCGGGGGGGGGGGGGAGGAAATAGTTGTGTCTGGCTCTCCGTCCCGTGTCCGCACATCGGTGGTTTGGAAGAGCGAATGATTTGTCCGTCCTGTAAAGTGTTAGGGAGGGGGATAGGGAGCCCCTGGATGGACCGCCCTGAAGCCCTGACTCCTGTGGAAAGCAGCCCCCCACCCCGCCCGGCCCCCAAGATCCTGGAATCCCGGTCTGTCCTTTGCCAAGTTCAGGTAACGGGCTTGCTCTAAACCGTGTCCGGCGGATGCTGTGCGTGCTGCCCTCTTCCGACGCCGCTCTCTTCCAGGATTTGAACGGGAGGCACTTCGATGCCACCAATACTGTGAATTTTGTGCCAGGGAAGTGTGGGAAGCGGGGTGCAGGGAGCCCGTTTGAACTTGAATAAAGTTAAATTGCTGCATCATACCTTCCCCCGTAGCTCGCTGATGCCTGTTTGGATTCGCGCAAAAGGCGACCGTCATTTCTTAGCGAGATGTAGGACCCCTTTCATTCTAAACCGGTTGGGTAAATCCTCCCACCCCGTGTTCAGATTCAACATGGTGTGGCGAATATTAAGAATCAGGCTGGCCTCTCCCTTGCAGTAACACTATGGAAGGAACTTAGGATAGTTTAAAGAAAGAAAGATGCCTGTCTGAAGCAACAGATTTGCAGGTTCCAAGGAAATATCTACAACATAGTACATGTAAGATACACCGGAATTCAGCATCCACTCCATCTCTAAATGCTCTTAAAATCTTTAAATGAAGTATTTTGTGTGTAACGTTTCTGAAGGTACACTATCTGGGCTTTTAAAAGGTTTATGTTCCCTTTCATAATACATTCCCACTTGATTGTGTGCATATTTATGTTGGCATTTTGAAGACGTGAGATGAGAAGGGATACATACAATTAGGCTTTTATTAGGGGAAATGTGTGTTTATGGAACACTTTGGGTTAATATTTTAGGGCTCTTGTTTATGTAAGCATAAAAATAATAATGAATGTAAACTTTAATTGAAAAATAAAAAGAAAATATGTAAGCATAAACTGAAGAAAGCATTCTGAGGGATAGCAGCCTGCCTACAAGGAATTCATCCTGGAACAAGAACAGCCTAAGGGTGAGAAATAGCAGGTCTTCTGTTTCTTGCAACTGTACCTAACCCGTTTGATGTTAACAATTCTCTTTTGATGCCTACAGAGAGTGTGGAATGTATAGCACAGATAGACAATAGTTCCTTCAAGTGCAAGAATTGTCTTTCCTTTACCACAGCATTTTCACTTCAACTCAATGCCTGTTTTTCTTGTTGTTCTGCAGACTCCAAACTTAAGCGGCACAGGATAGGGTAGGGAGCTCTGCATCTGGTGGGAATATATTTATAGGAATTTCTGGCTATTTTAACTGGCATAGAAATAAATATTGGTGACTACTGGTCATTCATCAGTCAGACTCCCTGCCCACCAAGCTTCTCTGTGAAACACGCCATCCTAATCGTAACTTGATTGAATCCAAGTATCGCATGTAATGTTGATTCTGTTTATCTTAACAGATGCAGTTTATGTTGCTTTTTAGCCGTCAGGGGAAGCTTCGGCTTCAGAAATGGTATGTGCCGCTGTCAGACAAAGAGAAGAAAAAGATCACAAGAGAACTTGTGCAAACCGTCTTAGCGCGGAAGCCGAAGATGTGCAGCTTTCTGGAGTGGCGCGATCTGAAGATTGTTTACAAGAGGTATAATTTTTTCTGTTTCAGAAAGGTCGAAGAGCAGAATCAGATGTGGATCATTTGTAATCTGGAAATGAACAATTAACAAGGATCTAGATGCAGAGGGTGTTAAGTTAAAGCTTTGTATTTTTTCTTTAATAACTTGTTTTTATTACCCAGGTATTTTTTCTTTAATAACTTGTTTTTATATTTATTATATAAATCAGGGACGTTGTGTTAAAACTAATTATATAATGAAAGTCTTAATCATCTTTTTTAGAAAAATTCAGTGAATTCATTCCCTTTCGGGGGGGAAATAGAATCAGTATTTTAAATTGTGAGTAATTCTCTGAGTTTAGATTAAGCATTTCCTCTTGCTTCTATCTATAAAGTAATGACTGATAATTGACATGCCTTCCATCTGACTTTTAGAATCTTATTCACTCTGAACACCTTGAATACATAGACCATTTGAGTCCTATAAATGTTTTAAAATTTTGTGAATATACAGGATCTATGAGTAGTGTTTATTGATTTGATGTATACTTGTTGCTGTGGTAGAGGGGTGATTAGATCTGATAGATAATTTTGCCAAGAATAAAGTAAAAAATTGTTAACACTAATCTTTTTTAAAAACGCATATATCTTTATTAGCATCTGACACTCTGAATACCTTAAAATAAATTTCTCAAGATTGTTCTAATCATGTTAAAAAAGAAATATAATTATTTTTCCTCCTATTTCTCTACCCTTAGGAATAATGTACTGTTTTTAAGATACAAGGGTTACTGCTTGTGAAAAATTCTCTTCTAGGGGGATGTGTAGAGAACTAACAATCCAGACTACGGACTACAAGGAGGGTTGGAGAGAAACAAAGAGGGTTGGAAATCTCGGCTTTCCCGTATTCCACTCCGAGTGTGGATGGTGCATATTGGGGGGGGGGGGGGCACAGTGGGGGAAGTGAGGGGAATTATAAGACATTGGGAATTTAAAAAATACCCTAGACTCCTTTCTCCAATAAAATGAATGTAGTCATCTTTGGGTGCTTTTATATCCAGTGTTTGGTTTAGTACTTGTTGAGGAAAAGACATAGCATTTTAGAGCTGGGAAATGTCTTAGAATATCTAGATAAGTGATTTTTTTTAATTGAGGTAACTTGACATATAAATTGTTACTTTTTATATGATTAAAAAAAGCTTTTTGCCCTAACGATAGGACCTTAATGAAACAAGTGGAGGTGCTCTTGTAGAATAGACTGGGATCCTGTTCCCCTGCCCTCTGTATAGGAGATGGTTCCTGAGTTTGAAAAACCACTACTTTGATCAAACTTTTTGTTTTTTAAAATGAGGATTTGGGAGAAGTGACTTGTCCAAGGTCATATGCTAGTAGGTGACTGACATAGGAGCTACAGCTCCAATCTTAAGCTTGGAGGCAAAGGATTTGAACAGTGATCCAAAAAGGTTTGCTCTTTGTAATTGGAGAATTGAGGGGGAGGGGTTGAGACTGGAAACTGAGGGGGGATCTGTTTGGAGACGGAATTATGAGTCCTGGAAGAAGATCTCTTGCTGTGTGCTCAGCGGGTGGAAAGAGCTGTTACCAGGTAAATTTACTAAGACTTGGTCTCTGCCAGAAGGTGGGAGGGCAGCGAAAAAGGGGGGACTAGAGGTATTCCACATTTCAGGTTCCACGGACAGGCTGAATGGGGAGGTGGTAGATAAGTTACTTGGAGTTGCCTAGTTCTCTTGGAGTGGGCATAGGCATGCATGTTTTGGGGGGTAATTAGGCATAATGTGTTAGATCACCAACATCCAAGTGGAAGGAAAAGGGGGGAGGGAGAAGGTAAGCATAGGGTCAGTAACACAGAGAAGAGTCACCGGTGCCAAATGTTGCATCCAGTTCAATTACAGTAAAGAAAGCCTGTCAGATCTTACAATGAGCGTTTCCTACAATGCCCTTTGTGGGAACATTTTCAGCGGAATACAAAAGACAGAGCTCTCCAAAAAACGGGGTGAAGAGGGGGAGACGTTTAAACAGTGAGCAAAGATTATTTGGGGAGCTTCGCTCTGAAGGACAGAAGAGGCGGTAACCAACCACAAACATAGGAGCGGGGGACAGGGTTTGAAAAAAGATGTGAGAGACATGAGCTTATTTCTAGATAGGGGAAGGAGTCCCCCGTGTGGAGGAGGAAAATACCAGCAAGGGAATGAATCCCAGGAATGGAGATTCCTGCAGCAGAAGGAAATGGCCTGTTAAACAGAAGGATGAAAAGCGCTAGTTGGTGTTCTTGCATTCAGTATTCAGCCTACCCGTGTTGAGCCACTGATTTTTCTTCTAAAGGCTATTAAAGGGAAATGTAATCTGACTCTACTTGCCTCAAGCTTCTATAAATAAAAGGTGCACTTACAAAAAGGCTTTATCAAGACAAAATGCACATACAAAAGTTAAATTCAATCATTTTGCTATGCATACTGAAAACACCTACTGTACTAAGGACATATTTATTCACATAAACAGGTGATTATTTGTCCCTAGTCCAGCTGGCAGAGAAGACCTTTCAGGCAAAAGAATTCCCACTTAGCTCCAGAGAAATTCTGAACTAGCACTTAGCTTTCTGTCCTCCTTCCTCAAGCAGTCTCATCCACTTCTGAACATTCAGCATAACAATTCCCCCTGTCAGGAGGGAGAAGTAAGGATAAAATTAGTATAGCTGAAGAAATCCACTGAATGTCTGAGAACTTGAGTTCTAGTCCGCTTGTACCATGAGCTAGTTTTGTGACTTTGAACCAGTCTTTGGCCTTTGTTTCCTTATCTCTACAACAAATGCTCTTGAGATCTTTTGAAGACAGTACACTATGCTTTTTTTTTATTCCTGCTTTGTGCAGCATGTTATGGAAGAGGCACTGGATTGGAGTCTCCAAATTAAAAAATACATGCGTCTCCAAATGACTGACTTGAGAATTCCTGGAAGAGCACTGTATTGATTTTCTTTACCAACAAAAGGATTTTAATGACGCTGTGGGTAGAGAGCAGTTTATTTAGTTACATTCACCCACCATCAGCTGATATTTAGCTGACTGCAGAGCAGTCATGTGTTTTGAATGTAAGAATAGGCACTTTCAGATGCTCTCCGAGTGCCGGTAATTAGAGTAAGCCTTAATCCACTCGCTAAAAATAACTAAACATACGTTTCTTCTTACTAGTCTATTATTAATTTTACTTCAGATTCAGACTTACAAATATGCACTCAGAGAACAAAATGAGCTCATTGTTCAATTTTTTAAAGCCATTTCTAAAAATAGGGAGTACACTTAAGGTTCTCTTGGTAATCTTTTACTAAATCACTATAACAATTTTTATCTCTCTGCAAAGCTGTTAAAATATTGCTTTAAATGTGTCTTAATTTTTGCCAGGTGCTGGGTTACTTTAATACAGTTCCTGGCTGTAGTTTTTAATATAAAACTTGGGCTCTGGAGCCAGATCACTGTTTCTGGGGAGGTTGCTCAATTAAGTCTGGGTCTCCTAAATGCAAGTAATAATGCTATCTCTGGAAGGGTTTTTGTGAGGTTTGAAATGGTAAAATAGGACTCAATGAATGTTACCGTTGTTATTGTTTCTCTCCTCTAAGCTTTCTGGAAAGAAGTACCTTCTTATAATCCTGATAACTAAATGTTCATCTACAATACAGAATTGATTTAATTTGGTTGCTCTTTTACCATTCTGAGCAAGAGCAAACATTTAGATAATGGGGAGTTTGTGTGTGTGTGTGTGTGTGTGTTAAAATATTACTGGTTGGTACTTAAGACACATTAGTCTGGTGATATTTATGTTAATAGTTTAGAAGGACTAAAAGTAAATATTTAGAATTGAGGACTTTTGACCAGTGTTAAAATGCTATTTATTTGTAAGTAAAGAGGCAGTATAGTGGTTACAGAGCAAAGACCGGGCAAGCATTAGATTACCTAACAGTAACGTTGAAAAAAATCTTTTCATTGAGTCTATTTGACGCAATGGATGTAATGAAGCAAACAAGACAAGAGGAAGAAGCAAAAATAACAAGTATGCATTCTTGAGACTTTAAATGCTTTTTGAAACTATAGAATGTTCCAGAGATTATACCTTAAGTGGCTATGTAATGGCTTCATGGAAGCCCTACTCACATAGGGATCTGGAGCTGTTTATTTTATTTGGAAATGATGACAAATGAAAAAGAACTAAGTTTGAAAAGCTCACATCCTTTTAACAGAAGGTAACTGTTCTTATTATCCACACACTAGACAGATTATTTCTTCTGAAGTTGATACCATTAGTACATGGTGTAAAACAATGGCTGCTATTTTATTCACAACTGAATACAATGGAAACTTCAGTTGATTGTGGATTTGATTTGGATTTGTTTTGAATTCCTATTGTTAACATATTGGTAGCTGTAGGGTATGGCCAAATGCTTCCATTGTATTAATTTAAATATTCCGCTGTCACTTTTGCATCCTTGGGGGGGGGGGCGGCAAAGAATGTATATTTTTAAGTTTAAATTAGACTGATTTAAGTTAAAAAAGAAAAAAAGTCTTATAATTAAAAAATTTTACCCAAAACTACCATAGTAGTAAATTCTAATGCAATCAATTAGCACTCTGTTCATGTTAGCTATTCATGTCTGGTTTTCAGTCTAGCATTTTTTAAGTCAGTTACTTTAACCTTTGGTTTTCTTAAGTCAGAGCATCTTAATGTGTCATTTGTACCCACTCCTCCAAATTCAAAACTCTATTTGGTGAGCAGAGATTCAGACGGATGGGGAGTTATAATATCCCATTGCGTTTTAAACCTATCAACACAGGTTAGTGCTGGGAAAAGGAGGGAGAAGCTTCTTTGTTCAAGTTGGAGGTGGTGCCCTCTTAAGTCCTTCTTGATAATAAATGAACACATTCAAATGCCTCTATGCCATCTTAAATAACTGACTAGATGCAGAAGTCAGGCGGAGTGAATATGGCAAAAAGTCATGCTTTGTATGACAAGGGATGTTGGTGTGGTACCTGGAGTTCAGGTCTGAAGACCAGATTTCGTGTCCTAGTACAGCCACTTACCAGGCCCTGTATTCTTAGACCTTTTTTTTTTTGTCTTCTGTAATCAAGGATGATGATGCTTGCTGTTTGAAAGATCAAATAAGATGAGATGCTTTTGATAATACTGAAATTAGTAGGTTGTTATGTAAATAATTACTCTCACACTGAAGAGCAGGAATTCATTGAATGGAGATTGTGCTCATTTATATATTTGCATTACTGCTTGGAGCAGTAAATTGCCCATTGTGTTTTCTAAAAATCACTTAAATGCTACTCAGTGAAAATTACAATCTCAATTGAAATTTGTTTAGAATGCCTTAGGTTTTTTTTTGTTTTGTTTTGTTTTTTGTAAAACCCTTAACTAGACTTAAACCATTTGAAATTGCTCTTTTAATCCTCCTCAAAGGACTTGGTCATTTGCTGTGCCTTGAAGGATTGTATGTTAATAAGTTCTGGCTTTCTTGGGCTAAGTATAACCATTAAAATGCTAATTTGGAGACTATGAGTTTATCAACCTTATTCCTTCAAGGGACAATAACATAGACTTCGATTCAACAGGATAGAACTTGGAGAAATTGAGGCGAGGTCTGTTTCCTCAGTTTTTTCTCCAACTTCTGAAATAACTTGGAACTGTTGTTCATTTCTTGGGGTTTATTGCACAATCCTAGAAACTTCCTTTTTAAAAATGTATGCTGTTAGAAGTCAAGATAGTAGTTACCCATGAGGGTGGGAGAGTGGGACCTGGAGAGATTGGAGAGGGGTTCAGTAATCTGGTTCTTGATCTGGGTGCTGGTACACAGGCAGGTCCACTTTGGAAGCTCATTGAGCTATACATTTATGACCTGGGTTCTTCTCTCTGTGTATATTACACTTTAATAGAACATTCCAGAACATTGACTTCACATTGACAATATCTTCGATATCAATAAGTCCTTCAACTGGAGAGTTTATATTCTTTCCTGCTTACTTGTACTTTGAATTAGTCACACAGTGCATTTTGTTCTAATTAAGTAAACTTCAGAACAAGCTGGGTCAGTTATGTTTTAGTATCTACATAGAAAAGAGTCTGAAAGGAAGAAGAGCAAAGTAGTTACTCTTTCTAGATTATGTGATTGAATGATTATTATTATTATTATTATTTATTTTTTATTTTTTGCTTGTCTATACTTTTCAAATTTTCTCTTAGGCATTTATTGCATTTGTAATCTAGGGAAAAAAACTAATCTGTACTATTGTAAAGAGGAAATAAGCTGTGTAAACATGGGGTCTTTCACAATAGGATATGAAAATATATTTAGGAACTATGATTATAGGGTAAATTTTTTTTCACGTTTGCTTTTGTTACAGATACGCTAGTCTGTATTTTTGCTGTGCTATTGAGGATCAAGACAATGAGCTAATTACCCTGGAAATAATTCATCGTTACGTGGAACTACTTGACAAGTATTTTGGCAGTGTGAGTAATATTTTGTTTTAGGGAATTGAATGCCACAGTTTTGTTTTTTTTAATCTTTTCTATAACAAGTTTGATTGTCTTGGGGATTCTGACTCTTTGAAAGGAACTGTGGGAGAGAGAAAGAATGACTATTTCTTGTCTGAGCCTACTCAATCAGTTAACTGCCAAAATTGCTTGACCCCCAGACCTACTCATTTAATTATGGTGTTAAGAATGAGGTTTAAAATAGTGAAATAGAAAGGAGTCCAACTGCAAAGAGTAATATATAGAAGTGCTTAGTGAAGAATTTAGCTTTTGTTGGCAGTTATAATCACATTACCCAGGAAACGGGTATTTTCAAATATCAGCTTTTATGAGTAGAAAAGTTGCCCATGCAGAGTTGATCTGACTTAGCATATAGGCAATTGTGTTTTCAAGTACTTGAGATTTGAAAATTAAACTAACCAAATCAATGATGCTTAGTTAACAAGATTGCCATTTTGAGAAAGAACTCAGATGGATTCACTCTGGTCAGATTTCATTCGCTTTACTTACCTTTGGCTTTCTTATTACTTTTTGTTTGTTTTGTTTTTCAGGTGTGTGAGCTTGATATCATCTTTAATTTCGAGAAGGCCTATTTTATTTTGGATGAGTTTCTTTTGGGAGGGGAAGTGCAGGAAACATCTAAGAAAAACGTCCTTAAGGCCATCGAGCAGGCCGATCTGCTGCAGGAGGTAAGCTGGGAGTTCTCTAGACACTGGCATGCGTTTTTGCTTTTGTTAGGAAGTGTCAGTCATCTTCTCTCCTCCTTACATGGTTTCAGAAATGACTCTGAAGCATGCTCGGCATGCAATGTCTGTGTGCAGTTTATTGATTGGAATGTGTCAGTCATGTCAACTCCATTATCTATGGATGGATCGTTTACTTTGGAAATGGTCTGTCATTATTGATGGCCAGTTTGGGACCTCAAAAAACTAGAGTCTGAACCTTTATAGGACAGACCACTTTAAGAAGGGAAAAGATTCATCAAATATTAACAGTAATTTGAGAACTCTCCATCCATTGTTCTGAATTACTTAAGATAGCCCCTTTTCTCATTAATGTAGATAATCAGGAGTTGACTGAGATCATGGCATTTTCATTCCAAATTTCATACTTTCACCTCATGTCCATTAAGTACAAATGTAGCCGAGTAAATCATAGTGTTATAATTACGCTTTTTGTAGAACCCTATAGTTTGTGTTAGGAAAACTAACTGAAGAGTACTTTTCTTTGCTCTTAGAGAAGAAACCATGTTCTGTCAAGTTACTGCATTATTCTCTTGCCTTGATATTACTAGAGCCATTAATAAACCTCCTTCCTGTTCTAATTTCTATACTTGTTCTGGGTTAATTGTATAGTTGATGCTTCTGTACCTTTGATTTCTGAAGTTTAAAAATTCATAGATAAGGCTACCTTTTCCTAAAACCTTAATGATACCTTAATTCAGGTACCAAGTTCAATTATGCTTTAGTGATAATTGTGGTTTTAATCAAACAAAACTTATAGCCTAAGAAGAAGGAACTACTCAATATAACAAATGCAGCATGTTTTCATTACAGTAACTATCAACTTGTTCTCTATGTATGGGTCTTTTTGTTTTGTTTATTCATATGTTTTGTTGAAATCCAATTTTTAAGAACTTCTGTTATAACAGAAAGGCATATCTCTTTTTCTCCATTATAACTTCTTAACCACTGACCTCTACAATCCCTCTGCATCAGTCCCTGACTGTGTCAGCTGTGGGAATTGCTCAAAGTTGAGATGACATCATCTGGGCCACACATATATAAAATATGAGACAATGCATTATACATTTAGTGATCTTGAGTTACCAAGACAGTGGTTAAGATACCTGCAAAAGTGAAGCATTTTTTTAGCTGCCCTGATGCCATTCACTGTTCAGTAGTGAAATGAGCATAGCTCCTCTTCCACGTGTGTACAGTTGGCTATTTTTAAAAATATATATTTTATTGATTTTTTACAGAGAGGAAGAGAGAGGGACAGAGAGTTAGAAACATCAATGAGAGAGAATCATCGAGATCAGCTACCTCTTGCACACCCCTACTGGGGATGTGCACGCAACCAAGGTACATGCCCTTGACCGGAATCAAACCTGGGACGTTTCAGTCTGCAGGCCGATGCTCTATTCACTGAGCCAAACCCGTTTCGGCCAGTTGGCTATTATTTTTAACATCAGGTGTGCTGACTGCAAGCTCACAGTCTGCTCTTGTTAATTTGGTTTTAGGGTTAGTACTCATTATTTTGCTGTTCGCAGATCAGACTTTTCTAAAAATTAGGTCAGAATCAAGAATTGGAGACTTTCTATATTTGTCCCTTCCCTTGATCATTTTCATATTTCATTATTATGGAACTATAGCCTGTTCAATCAGATTCTGGTGTTTCCTCCAATTCATTTCCTGATTAATTATATTTGCTTTAAAACATTTCTATAGTTATTGAAGTTAAGCTTTTAATTTTAATGTGTTATTTTCTGGAAAATTTTGTTTAGGGTATTGACAGCTCCTTGTGTCTGGATTTTTTTAAATTGTCCTGGGAAATTGCTAGACTTTACAGTATGACAAATATGCTAACTTTACTTTATAGCATATATTATAAGTAATGTACTAGCTGATAAAAAAGTTATTACAGGTCTGTATCTATTTGTGAGAGAATGTATGTGAGTGTATGTGAGTGTGTGTGTGTGTGTGTGTGTGTGTGTGTGTGTCCCCTATTGAAGTATTAGAGTAGTAAGCAATGTCTCCCTTTTTGAAGTAGTATTTTTATATCTTCATTTGGGGAAAGTAGGAATAGAGAAACATCATAATATGACTATAAACGTGCATAAAATTTTCTTATTCATCTCACCCTAGTTTAAAAAAAATAACAGTTTCTTATTTAGAAGAGAGCTTTGGCCCTATTTTCCTCTATAGCTATGTTTACATTTTTGGGGTACATAAACAAAAGTGATGGTACATTAAGACATTTTCTAATCAGTGGTCTGAGTGAATCATTTTTCTTAATTTTGCCATTCAGTTTTTGGGAAGGTAGAAGGTGGCTGGTCCATTATGAATTTAGAGTGAGTTATAATACATTGCAGACTAAGGCCATTATGAAGCCAAGCTGCAGTCTATATGGGGAGTGAGGCCTCAGGTTAACGGGTTAACCGGTTATTCAGGTTATTCACTCACATACTGTCACATGAAATCTAGAGGTAACAAGACCCTTGTTTTCTAAAATGCATTCATTTATATATTGATACATGTTTACATTTCTGGAAGAATATTTGAAAATTTTGTTCATATAATAGCTGGTGGAATAAGATGAGAAAAATCATTCCACAAACTGCTTAAGAGAACATTTTTATATGGACACCATGACAACAAAGGAGAAGTATGATGATAGCTAATGCTTACTGGGCACTTAAATATTAGGCGCCTCCTATACTAACCCTCAGGATACCCAGAGCATCCTAAGAGCCTTTGCAGCAAATGAAGTAGAGGCTGATCGGTCCGGTAACTAGTCCTAGGTAGCAGCTGTCCAAACCAGGATTCCAAACCCAGGTCTCCTAGACCAAAGAGCTGTGTGAAGTCTTAACCACTGTGCTCGTCATTCCCCCTACCCCCCATTTGTGTATTGTCATGGTATGTATATTTTAAACATTCTGTTTTAAATACCAATTTCTGGCTTCCTCAGCAATATTATTTTAAAACTTCATCATTCTCCTGGACATTTCTCTGTATCGAACAGAGTAGATTTCCAATGCCATCTTTTACTTTTTGGACGGGAAATTTTGTTTTCCAAATTATTAATAGTTGGAATTGTAAATTGGATATGTAGCTATAAATCATATATTTCAGATCATTTCTTGTTGCATACATCAAAACACCTATATCTATAGTAGCTTTTGTGGTCTTATAATTTGGGGTGTAGTATTCATTTAGTCTATAGCTGTAAAGACACTTATCTAAATGCAGCATTAAATTTGTAAAAGTTCTAAGTAATTGATTTTTAACCTAGTTTTTTTTTTATGTAAATCTAACCCTGAACAACGCAGGTTTGAATTATGCAGGTCCACTTCTATGTGGGTGTTTTTTCCCCAATAAATACCTGTACTCCATTGGGGGTCCCCAGATGTAGACAACCAGCGGTATACATTGATCTACATCATTTCATGTAGGGGACTCGACTGTCCTCAGCTTTTGGTATCCACAAGGGATCCTGGAACCAATCCCCGAGGATACTAGGGACATCTTGAGTTTTGGAGGAGTCAAAAGTTTTACTTGGATTTTCACTTGCATGGTGTTGATGGCCTTAAAATCACCACCTCCACACTAGGTGGCTGTTCAACGGTCCACTGTATTGTGATTTTTGATACTTGGTGTCAAGTTTTTTTACTTAAATTAATTATTTCTAACACCAAACATGGCTTAAAGATATATGAAAATCTGAAATGATTTTGATTTCAGTCCTTTTTAATTTGCGAAATATACATTTCTATCCTTAATTATGTTTATTTTCTTTAGGGCAATTTCTTTCAAATTTCCCTTTTACCCAATATGTAAATGTCATGTAGTTTGTCTAGGTAGTCCTTCGTTTATTTAGGTAGTCTTTCTGCAGGCAAACAGGGTAGGCAGTAGTAGATAAGTAGTAGTGGATTTTCAATTAGCATATTATAGTTAATAATGAGAACGTAAATGTGTACTCTGATAATTGCTAACATATCAGACACTGTGGTTAAGTAATAAAGATCCTTTTTTATTTTACTTAATTACTTGGTAAACAAGGGTTTTACTTTTGACAATTCTAGACTGAACTCTGTTTATTCCTTTTGATATTCAGTTTTATGAATACATAATTAGATTTGGAGGTAAAGCCTAGAAAATTTTGTCCATTATCCAATTTTTAAAGCTTGACTGTTGGAATTTAAAATATGTCTTCTTAACATGCCACTGGTACTTAACTAGATTTAAAAAAAAAAATTAAAATTCGACATGCTGATATTACTAAATTTACTTTCTTTTTTTCCCTGTACTTTGAACATTTCTTCCCCCTACACACACCAATTAAATATCTATTTTAAACTAGGCTTTTTAGGAGGGGGGTGAGAAGGGGAGTGGGACAGTTGGATTCATTTTATCAGTGTATGACAAAGGAAATATAGAGTGCCTTTTCTTTGTAAAGTAAGGAACTTAACAGTTTTTCTTTGCTCCTTAATTTTATAGAGCCAGAATGAAGAATGGGGAGGTTTGTCTGAGGATATCTTATGATAAAGAGCAGTCTAAGACTTTAGTTCCTTTGACCCCCACCTTATTTATTGGTAACTACTAAATTTACCATTTTTGTGGCATGGATACAATGGAGTGTTATGCAAAGACTGTTGCACGCGAGATGATACCAAGTCCTTGCTTGATCCGTGAAGATCCAAACTTAACTACTGGGCATTGGGCTTTAACCCTCAGCGGGAGATGCATGATGGTGCTGACCAGTGCTTTTTGAGATGTGTCAGCCTTTCTTTTTATACTAACAGCATCGTTTTGAAATGTGTCGGCGTTTCCTTTTGAGCTTTGTTTGCTGTTGGTATTGTTTCTCACTGGAACAACCTGAGAAATGAAAATAAGTGAGGTACCAAAAGCAAGCATTGCTCTCATGAATTGGTTTCTACTTAGAGGGGATCCACTTTATGAGTAGATTT